CCCTTTTCAAAAAAAAAACAAAACCAAAAAAAACATGGACCCTCCAACAGGGCAACCGTAATTACGCCTCCCGTCCATAAAATCCTGGCCTAGGACTATTGAAATGTTAAGTAACGCCTTATACCCTAGAATTTGGAATTTCTCGTCATTGGTCTACTGCTGTTAAGATCCATCCAATCATTTTAATATACCATAGACAATTAATGGAGAGAATTCGGCATAAAAAAATGTCAAACCCTGACACTTTAACTATAAAATGTACATGCTCCAAGTAAGGAACCGTTACATTAGTGCATTTAACAATTATTTTATGTTTTTTAGCAAAAAAAAAGGTCCAATTTTTTTTCAAATATCCTAGAAACGCACCTGCTTGCTCTTCATCTACCTCTTTGCATATAGCTTTAGATCGAATCCTCCTCGGCCTATTTTTTTCTCTCTGTATATCCCTTTTCTTGGTTAATATTACTTCTTGTTTAACTACATGCTCCCACTCAACACTGTTTTGTAGTTGAATGTTATCTTCATTCCTTATTTTTTGTATCTTGATTTCTATCAGATGAATATGAGATATGTTAGCCCGAGTTTCCTCTGGCCCTGACACCAGCCTTAGACATTTTGACATATATATTTCTGGTGTACCAGACATCTTTATATGTCAAAATGTCTACCAGACATCTAAATGTCAAAATATCTTAAGTTTGGTGTCAGGGCCAGAGGAAACTAGGGCTAGAGATACGTTTACTGTGAGTTCCGTCAGTAATGTTTCAAGACAAAACTGGACACATAATTACAAATACCAGTTTTGTGTCTGGAAATATTTATAATAACATTATGACTGTAACTCTATTTCTGTATCTGGAATATTTATTGCGTACAGATGAAGAAACGTGTATAAAAAGGGAATCAAAGTAATGATGGAAGCAAAACTCCTGTAATGGTAGCAGGAACAGAGACATGCGTTCTACTGGTTGTAAAATAGTGGCTGCTGATTTGGACTGTTTTGCCTAATGAGCGGATTGCTCTGATTCTTTCCGACATAAAAACTTCTGAAGGTCCTCTTCCAAAACTGTTTCACAAGCAAAGAAATCGTGTCCTTTTCATAGGATTCCTGAGTTTTGAATGAATAGGAGTTACTTCCCTTGCACCTCTAAAAATATGCATGTCAGGCCCACCAAAAAGAGGGCAACAAACAAATATGATTTATTCTATGAGCAAGTCTATTATCGGTGTTATACTATTATTCTAATTTAATATCATTGAAATGCGTAGGCAATTAGACATCTAATTATTTTTATAAATAAGCAAATTGTTACAATGCCATATTCAACACGGAAAAACCTTCAAAACAAGTGGCGCGTCATTTTGAATTTCATATTTAACAGACCATAATAAATACATAATTTATGGTCTTTCCAATATTTGGAAAAATTGGGGATAAATACTTTCTACAACTAATTCCTCAATCGACAAACATATATCGGTTGAAGATAATGAGCCTCTGTGATGTCATAACAAAAACAGCTGACGTCGCTTCTCGCTCTAGTGCACAGAGACACACTATAGTTAAACCGATAATGATACATAGGCTTTACAATGTAAAACGTGCACTATTTCGATACAATACAATGAACCTGTTTACAGTATAAAATATGTAACCCTGATCTAGTACGATTGTAGTTCACGTTATATTAAATTGAATACAGTAGAAACTCGATAATCGTTTGCCTCTAGGTAATACGTATATCATGTTAGACAATGAATTGAACATTGAGAAAGGAAGGATGAACAAACCATAATGTCATATTAAAGGAATTGAAAAATCGTCATGCATTAAAAAATAATTCAAATCTATATATGGCACATGAAGCGCGCAGGGTCCGTTCAGGGTAAGGAAACCGGAGTACCAGGGGAAAACCCACATCAGACCGGGGAATCGAACCTCACCTCGTGAAAGACGAGTGCTATTCACTGCGTCACTCGACCAACATTGACTGGTTATGTTACATGCTCGTGTTATTGGTGAAATATTTACAACATGGCGTTTAGGTGTAAAACCTATAAAATGCATATCTGGAACGTCATTAATTTTTTACGTTAAAAATTACCCGATTAACTACAAGGTGTCCTGTCCTATGGGCACTATTGATTAACATGTAGTTGTTCGATGTTAATTGGCTTGTCAACTAAACGGCTTACATACACGTCTTTAGTTCCAAGTTCAAGTTTTATTCAAACGATAGGCCATTGACCCATCAGTATTCCGTCTTTTCTTATTGCAGATGTATCTGCTCTTGTAAGCAGGTATTGATTGTTACGTCATTAGTTTGTGTGAGAAAATTACGTCGTTTTCTCAAAAAATGATGACTTTACTCTCACAAACAAATGACGTAACAATCAATCCCTGCTCACAAGAGCAGATAACTCTGCAATACTAAAAGACGGAATTCTTAAGCATTGAACTGTTTTTGTATGGTATACTTATATTTACGTTTTCTCTGCCTCTTATGTTCTTTTTAACTTATAATTTATAATTAAAATTAAAAATGCCCGCCTTATCGACAGTCAACACAATTTCGTTCAATAGTTTGAACAGCGTATTGTCGCGTGCTGATTGGCAAACAAAGTAGTAACACTTCAAATTTATTCCACAATTTAGTATCAATACAATTGCGTATGATATGTCTATAGGGTGATTCCAGTTTTTCAATAGAAATCTCAGCTGAAAGTTAGATTTGAAATTGTTTCGATTCCCCCCC